CCACCATAAAGGTTTCTAAACACCATAGTATCCAAAGCTACAGAGATGGACTCTGAAACACCAGAGATTTCTGGAACAGCCTCCAGTGGCATGTCCACTGGGATCAGGAGCTCCTCAGAATGCTCCTTCCATCCCTCAACAGGATCCAGAGTAGAGGTCAACACTCCCTCATGCTTGCTTAGCAGAGTAGCACCAGGGAGTCAATAGGAATTTCCTGTTCGAGCACCACCTTCTCAAGACAGATGAATACTCAGAAATAATATGGTGCATAAGGACAAACAACAGTCAAATATTTCTTTCCTTAGACACAAAATCTCACTGAGGCAACCCTCTTTTCCACTGGGGAAAAAAAATAAAAGCACATTCCCAGTCTCTGACACACATACATAAACACACCATACCATTTCACACTGTCTAAAACCAAAATGTGTGTGAAGCTCCTATTAGTCTCTCCTCTACATTTCACTGCGATTCCTTTATGGGGACCAGTGCCCTCATTTACATGTATAAATATGTGCCTAAATTGTGTGAACGTCTCTACACTGCAAAAAAAAAGTCATCTTAGCAAGTGAAAATTTGTCGAGTATTTCTTATTATAAGATTACAGTAAACGAAATATAAGATCATTGAACCTATTTGGATGTTATTACTCATTTCAACCTTGTAGTTTTCTTATTCTGTTGGCAGATAACAGTGGCAGTGAAATAAATGCTTAAAATGAGCAAAATTATCTGCCAATAGAACAAGACTATTTCAGGCTTGAAATGAGTCCAAATCGCTTGAAATAGGTTTAATAATCTAATATTTGGTTTATTGTAATCTTATAATTGGAAATACTAGATAAATATGACTATATTCAAGGTATTTCCACATGATAAGTTGTCATTTTATTTGCAGTGTGCACAAAATGTGGTATTTATGAAAATTAAATTTTGCTTAGTTTTGTTCATATATAGTGACCATGCATATGGACATCGGTTATCAGTGTAAAATAATGCTGCAAATGGAATATATTGGTTCAAGAGCCAATGACAAATCTTAATTGTATTGATCAAAATCAAACTCTGTTTGAAAAAAAGTTATTTTGTTTGAACTCAGTGGCACTCTACACCGTTGACTGTACTTCTAGCAGTGAATGGTTTGCTGACAACACTATCTTGGTTGGCCTGATCTCAATGGTGATTAGTCTTCATACCGCAAACAAGTTAGCCATCTGATGTCATGGTGTAAAGCCAACAACCTGAAGATGAATGTACAGAAAACTGAGGAGATGGTAATTGGTTATGGATTAAAATACACCCAAGTCCTCCCCTTATGTTACTCTGTAGTCAGCAAATTCCTACAAATTCATTGGAACAGTCATTCAAGAGGACCTCAAATGGGAGGACAACACTCCCACAATTATCAAGAAAGCCTGACAACGCATGCAAGACAGATCAAGAAATGTGGGCTGCTCACAATGCTGCTGGTTCAGTTTTATACAGCCATCAAAGAATCATTCATCACATCTTCCTTCTTTGTCTGCAAAGCTGCCAACCTTAAAGCGGAATACATAGTCTAGCTGGGTGGGGGTTGGGGTGGTAAAAGTAAAAACGCAGTAAGCAGTAATAAACACAACACTCCCTTTTCAAGATAGTCCTTTGAGAAGCAGGCTTATCCTGTTCAGTTGGTAGCTGTGTGGTTAAGGCATTGGGCTACTACATGGAAGGTTATGAGTTCAAATCCCAATGCCAACAAACTATTGTTGGTTAGAAAGTCAGACTTGTAACCCAAAGGTGAAACTGAAGGTCGTGGGTTCGAGTCTCAGGTCTGGCAGGGATTGTAGGTGGGGGGGGAGTGAATGACAAGCACTCTCTTCCACCCTCAATACCACGACTGAGGTGAGACCAAACCCCCAACTGCTCCCTGGGTGCCGCAGCAAAAAAGGCTGCCCACTGCTCTGGGTGTGTGTTCAGAGTGTGTGTGTCTGTTCACTACTGTTTGTGTGCACATGGATGGCTTAAATGCAGAGCGCAAATTCCGAGTATGGGTCACTGTACTTGGCTACACGTCACATGTCACTTCACTTCAATTGTCCATTTGTATCCTGTCTCAATTGTAAGTTGCTTGGTGTAAAAAAAAAAGTCCTAAGATAAATGTAAATTGCTTGTCTATTGTAAATATCATGTGCTGCTTCCACACTGCTAACATTTTCCTGTTGATCTGCTGCTCAAACTGTTGGAATGTGTTTGCACTGACTGACCAAAAAAAGTGTAATTTCTGACCATTTTTGAAAATTCTCAGTAGCATCCCTAATAAATATAGTCAACTGATGTTAAATATATATCTCTGTAATGTTAGCTAAGTTGAACATACAATGATAGCTTTTATTTTACCCTAATAAACACAAAACATTCTCCGTTTACCTTGACAGAAAACGAGGGTCAGTGGTTCAGAGACAGAGAGTGAGAGCCCTAAGGACTCAGACTAGCCAAAACCTGTACAGCTTCTTTCCCTAAACATTCATCATTTTAAAAAGGTCCTTTCCCACATCCAACCACTTAATTGGACTGACATTAAACACAGATCCTGGGTGGTATGGTATTATAGTGAGTAGTGTTGCTACCTCATAGCTCCAGGGTCCCTGGTTTGATCCTGAGCTCAGGTTTTTGTCTGTGTGGAGTTTTGCAAGTTCTCTCCGCATCTCTGTGGGTTTCTTCCCGGTTCTCCTGTTTCCTCCCACCTAGTCAATCATGCTGGTAGGTGGATTGGTGCTTGATGTGAACGTGTGTATGGTGGCTTGTGTTGGACTGATCTCCCATCCAGTGTTTTTGGGATAGACTTTGAGTCCACCATGACCCTGACCGGAATAAAGCTTACTGAAAATTAATGAAAGAATGGATGAACAGCCCAGTGCACCGCATTTATATCTGCTGATGTTGAGGTTAAACAGTTTTTGTATATTGTGTATAAGTATTGTATATTGCATGAATAGTGTTCTCCAAGACAAATTCCCTGTACACCTTGTACACGTATCTGTATTTAAATAAGCAGTGACATGCACACACGGTGACATCAGTCAAATTCAGTTTATTATGCTTCAGTACTTACACTGACAATGCACATTTGATGAATTCCAATTTTACTGATGCAATTCTACATTTCTTGCATACATATTAGGAACTTTTGGTTGATTAATGAGGCCTTGGCACTTTGTTTCCAAAAGGTGTGTGTGAACAGGATGATATGAATACAAATGTACATTCTCTCTCTCTCTCTCTCTCTCTCTCTCTCTCTCACACACACACACACACACACACACACACACACACACACACACACACACACACACACACACACACACACACACACACACACACACACACACACAAGCTGTGCATCCTTGATGCATCATTTGGATTGCAGAAGATACAGGATGAAGTCTTTCTCTAAGAAGCTGTCACACTCCTCCGTTAGTAGTGAAACCATCCACTCCTGACTCTATCAGTATGCAGAGAGAGAGAGAGAGAGAGAGAGAGAGAGTGTGTGTGTGTGTGTGTATGTGGTAAACTATTCAGACTCATGCTTTTAAAACTGAATATGGCTGAATGTCTCACTCCATACACTTAATATTGCATCCTGTTTTCCAGTCCATTTTGTTAGACTGCTATAATTAATCTGCCAGACACACACATACACACACACACACACACACACACACACACACACACACACACCAAAATTGTTTCCTGTAATATGTGGTGCACATCTCAAATGGTACCTATGAGAAAACATGACTAATGAAGTAAATAGAGTACGGTGCTGTCAATTTTGGAGAGCCAGGGGAAAACAAACAAACAAAAAAACTGATGCGGTGTGGTTAAATTGGCCGTCTTCATGAAAGACATTAAGAGAGGATGCTATTAGCAATACGAAAATTCTAAATTTGTATTTAATTTGTATTGTGACAGTCACAGATGGAGATTAGTTTCCATTTGTAACCCATCTCCGGGCTTCTCCAGTGTTTTAGGATTCAGTGGAGGGATATCTGAAGGATTAGCTCATTTTCAGACTGACTAAGCCGAAGATCTAATGGACTCCAAGGATGGAGAAAATCATTTATGCTTTTGTATCTACTGCTTTTGCAAGCAGGACTCCAGAGAGCCATGTGGATACAATTGCAGAAGTTTAACACAATCAATACTTATTTATAGCGGGAATTAAAACAGGCAGAAGAAACGAATGCAGGTAAATTCGTGGTAAAAAAAAAATCCATGTCCACAATCCATAAAAGGTGAGACTGAAATCTAAGCTGTGAAGCCAGATGTGCTGAATAAATGTAGATAATGATAATGTATGTGTCATTGATTCTTCCTGTTAATCCTCTTTGGTTTTCATTAGTTCAGCTTCTTGTCAGTGTCACATGTGTCTTTTTCTTAGTTATTCACGCTTTGAATATACACTATTTGGTGTGTTCTTGTTTCTTTTTCTAATTTCATGTTTTCTGGTTCTTGTTTCTCAATATGCTTGTTCCTATGTCTTGTCCTAGTGCTCTTGGTTATATTATTGTTATATTATAATCATGTATTACAATTGTTTTGTGGGATTCCAATCAACATTAGTGTTATTTCATTATATAAACAAGTGAACAGAGCTAAAAGATGTAATGCAGGAAGTTAATTCCATAAAAATGGGTGCACAATAGTGTGCAAAAAAATTAGCCTTTGAATCTGTTTTTGATTGTGACAAATAATTATTTTTTTAATATAATTTTTTTTTCTTTATTTGTCATGTATACCTATTTGTATGTTTTTTTTTACTATGCTTGCATGTCACAACAGGGTATCAGTTTCTCAAAAGTGCATATCACACTTTTAAGGATTTCACTTGACCCATCCTTGTATATAGTATATTAAATCAGCATTAATAATATATTGTACATCACGTAAGGTTGATAACCAAAGATTTACAAATTAAAGATTAAGTATAGTATCTGTATACATTAACCTTGTGAAATGAACACTGTGGATAATTACTTACAATGGACTTCTTAAGTTCAATGCTGTGAAGCATTTCTGTTTTGAAACTGTCCTAGAGGTTTGTCTAACGCAGCATCACAATGAGAGCTGAAAGGTATGTAAGACAGAACCTTTTCAGAAAGAAATGAAGAAATATTCGGCGCTCTGCTGTGTCCCTCTGTGCACAACGTCTTCCATATAAGCTTCCGTAGCTTCCCAGTCCAAAGTGTTCTCAGAAGACATACGCTGTGACCATTTCAAAACATAGGAAAGTCTGTAGCACCAGATCACACCAGATCAGTTAGCTGAACCCAGAAACACTTATTATTCAATTAGCAAAAATAGTAGCACTTTTATATGCTGATAAAGTGGCTAACATGCGTGAGCAATACTTGCAGTTATGGTGTGCGAGTTATTGTGGTAACTGATATGACAAATTCACATCTTAGGTGTTTGTGCATTGAGCCCACTGCATACAATACATAAATACACAAAACAATGAATCAATTCAAAACTATAATGTTAACCATAGCAACAGTATTCAATGTAGCTCACTTACTAAAGCACAATGTTCTACTATGGCAGCACAATGCTTTCAGTCCACTATGAAGGTTCAACAATAATCCATAAATACCCTTTAATACCCTTTTATTCCCTCTCGAACGTTAGGAGCTTGTAGAATGAAATTATCGTTACATTCCAATGTTGTGGACGGTCGGTGCTGGAACTTAACATGAACAGATCAGTGCAAATGATAGCTGAGTACTGACTTGTAACACCAAGGAGTAGTTAAGAAACACACACACACACACACACACACACACACACACACACACACACACACAAAAGTCTTCATTTGTCAGTCCTGAGAACATTAAGCTTCACAAAATAAGGATATGTGTGGGAAAAAAAATAAGCACACTAGCTGAAATGCATGGTGACCTACATACTTACACCTACACACACACACACACACACACACACACACTCTCTCTGTCTCCCTCTCTTTCTCTCTCACTCTCTCTAACAAGCAAGACATTGGACCTCTTCTGACAGCAAAAGACCTCACTGCACGTTCCCTTGTTACAAAGAGTGTTTCGAGAACAACGCTGTGACTTTCCAGTTGCGAATCAGGCCTCATTTCATTTTTTTTTTAATCTGACATTTGCCTCAGTCTGTCTCGGAGGAGCGTCCAGAAAGGTCACGTCCTCGGCTGAAAAGGTGACGCATTGTAGTAGTGCCAGAGAAACAGGACAAAACCAGCTTTTGTGTGCTTTCCCAATGTTCTTTTGAGTTTGTTCATGTGAGTTTCATATAATACTTAATCCACAGCAAAGTCCAATGGCTCTGATTTTGTTGGAAGAAGACTTAAGAACTAAATCATTTTATGGTGTGTTCAGGAACATTTGATCCCAGAATACAGCATCAGTGGTAAACAGGAATGTAGTACTGAATGGCACACCAAAGGTTCTTTCTCTCTGGCTTGGACTAAAACCAAAATCTCCTTATCTACCACATCTGTAGCTAATGTGAAATTACTACAGATCATGCAGATCAGCGAGAGCACCAAGGCCTCACCACTAGTCCTTCAGGGACCCCAGAAGTTTGATTGATTCATCTTCTATAATAGCAGCTTTCATATGATTATATTAATGTGCTTGTTCAAATACATTTTCATTTCTATAGTAACAGCATTCATAGGGACTTGTATGTCAAAATATAAGACTGATAATAAACAT